GCGCAAACTGGCATTTCGATAATAGTTTTAAATTCTTGTAAATTCACTGCAAAAACTGAGGAAAGTCATTATAGAAAATAACAAATGTCTTAGAATATCTCGCAAAAAGAAATGATCCAATATTAGTTAGAGCTAGTAAGGCCAAACGCTCCGTTCTTGAAGTAAAAGTGCGAGCTTTGCGCCAAAGTGACGTCACTAGTGTGACGTCGGAGGATCGGCGCGGCAAGAGATACTACAAAGGAGTGAACCAGCCCTTCTATTCTCTTTAGCCCTGGTTGACATGGTCTGTAACTACTCTCCCCACACAACTATGTATAAAATCAGTAATTCTCAAATCGTTATTACCTTTTTATAATGGGGAGCGAAGTTGGGTTCATATAATTTCGTACTCTTATCTACAATAATGATCAAATAACAATTATAACTAAAAATAGGTTTAAGAGATTTATGATTTTTTTTGTTACAAGTTCGAATTGAATCGATGAGTCCGAAAACCAGTCCTCTGCACTGCTTTTCAAAATTGAGATTCTTTCATTTTTAAGTTAAACTGACGCCGATACACATAGGTAGGATATAAAAAATTCATGTCCACCTACTTGGTATAGTATATTTTATGCAGTAAATTAAACTTTATAAATATCAAGATTAATTAGTAAAATTAGTTTTGTTTGACCGGTTTTCGAACTCATTGATTCAATTATAGATTTCATTACTATCCAACAAAATATGTTCTTTCAACAAAAATTAATTCCGATCAGTATGACAACTATGCATAACCTCAATACGATCGCAAATTGTAATTAAGATACCTATTCATCGTCAGAACATGGAGCGAAGTTGGGTCGATTTAATTTCATACTTTTATTTATAATAATGATCAAATAACAATTAGAACTGAAAATAGGTTTAAAAGATTTATAATTCTTTGCATTTTAAGGTTTCTTTTGAGATATTGAAAAGAAATTATTAATCCTAACCATTTTTTATTCCAGGGAGAAAATCTAAAAATGATATCTTGCATAAAAGGGAAAAGTTCGGCAGAAATCAAATACTTTGTACTAAATACGATCGAAGAAGGACCAACAGAAGCTCAAATGGTAATAAAAATTCTTATCGTGAAATATTTTATTTAATGTGTTCCTACTCCACGTTATTATCTAATTAGTTTGAATTTTTACTTTAGCTCACAAATGACTAGTATGCCATGAAAATTTATTTGGCTGCTTTCCAGATATCACCAATTTATTATTTTGACAGATGGAAATACTTTTAAAATGATAAATAGTGTTTCTAATTTGTTTGATTTAGAATTAAATGACAGTAAAAAACACGTTGACAGATATGCTAAAAGTTTTTACTGGATAATTAAGTTACATAGTCTACGTATAGTTTATTGCTTCCGTATATTTAATCCTCTAATGAATAATAAAGTAAATTGACGTGTAAACTTACCGATTTTACTAGATAATAAAAATATATAATGCATTTTGCTTTCTTATTTTGCTCTCTATATTAAATAATAATAAAAACAAGAAATTAAAATACATACTTGATGTTTTTACTAGATAATTATGATACATATTTTACAACAAGCACTTTGATTACAAGGCTATCGTAGCATTTTCAATCTATTGGTGGTGTCCAAATGAAAATAGATATTTTGTGATCATGTCAAAAATACAGGAGCAAAATTGGCTCCGTTATGCTAGGTTAGAAATAAAAGTAAAAAAAGTGCATTGCAGACTGTGCATAACTAACTAGTTTGCAGAATAGCATTTATTGTGAGTATTAAATTTAACCAAAAATGATGCACTAAGAAAAGAACTCGAAATAGTACAATTTTTAGGGGTGGAAAGTGACTGCACTATTCCTTTATTCAAGTGCGACTAAATGTCGGAGATTTGTGCACACACGATTTCCTCTAACCGTTTCATTAATAGCAGCAATAGATTCCGGAGGAAAACAAAGCGCTAAGCTTGACCTGGGTTTTTGCTTTTGGCAGATCCAATAATGCTGTCACTCTTTGTGAAAAGTTTAGCCCTATGTTCACAGCCGTTTTACCTTGACACTATATGCTGCTATAACAGTGAACGTTCGGCAAAAATGAGCAATAATCACATTATACATTTACCGTCTGCAGCTAGAAATCATATTACAGCGCGTTGTTCTGTTCCAAACGTTTCCATCTTAGCCGAACTTTACATTAACTTTAAATGTTCTTACGTGAACTGGTTATATATTATACTGGAACAATTATAAGCTATATAATTGTTCCAGTACAATATTAGATTCCGGAGGTATTGTAGATTCCGGAGGAAAACAAAGCGTTAAGCTTGACCTGGGTTTTGCTTTTGGCAGATCCAATAATGCTGTCACTCTTTGTGAAAAGTTTAGCCCTATGTTCACAGCCGTTTTACCTTGACAGTATTTGCTGCTATAACAGTGAACGTTCGGCAAAAATGAGCAATAATCACATTATACATTTACCGTCTGCAGCTAGAAATCATATTACAGCGCGTTGTTCTGTTCCGAAAGTTTCCATCTTAGCAGAACTTTACATTAACTTTAAATGCTCTCACGTGAACTGGTTATATATTATACTGGAACAATTACAAGTTATACGCACTCCGCGGTGCGCTCCTCTTGTGTTCATTTATAACATTGAGGGATGACAGTGCTATCTCTAATGTATTTCTGACGTGTGTCATTCGGGCAACTCTAATAAATTGCTAACGTAAAAATTTGCTTTAATATTCGGCGGTCGCGTCTGGTATTCGGAAGCTAAACTAATACAATTTGTAGTTTGGTAATGTAATAGTTTTTATGTAGTTACATTTGGTACTATTGGGTAAGTTAATTTGCAGTCGTGTAATGTAAGTAAATGTAAAATATAAGGATTCCAAAATTATGTATCTTATTTTGAGTTAGCTTACCAATTTTTTAAAAAAAAATTTTCTTATCTGTAAGAAACTTTCGCATAAAAGTGAATAAAAAATATGTTAATCTATTTAGTAATCGTATTTCAAAAGCTTTTTAATTATTAGACTTATGAATGCTTAAGTTTCTAAATGAAATAAAAATAAATTTAAAAAGGAATCTGCCTATTAAAAAAATAATTTATTGAGCTTGTCACAATTTGTTTTAATTTTTTAAACATATAAAAACTTTAATGGAACTTTTAGGTAAGATTATTTTCATAAAAAGCATTTGAAAACACTAACTTCTAGAGTTGTGCTTGCATTTATTAATTCAAAAACACTCAGATTGAAAACAAAATATTTTGATCAAAAATTTTTTTTAAAAAATTTGCAGATGCATATAACTTATTAAATCAATTTAATACTTATTTTTTCCAGCACTAATTTTATAAACATATATTTTCACATTTATCCCGATTACAGCAATTGGAAAATAAGAAAATGGATTTAGATGGTGATGACAGAATGTGGTGCAGCTTTGTGGCTCCTATGGTGACGCATTCCGAAGAAGGAAACAGTTTGGATCTTAGTGTTCCGTTGTACCAAGTATACTTAAGAGGAAATACCAACTACACCAGAGGAGGTAATTTTTATAACAAAATAACTTAAAAATTAATTAATTAATAATATAAGAGACATTTTAAATTTTTTAAAAAGTATTTACGCTATTTTAACCCTTTTCTAGCCTATTGATTACTTCTGTAAAACAAAACTTTTATCAATCCTCCTAAATGTTTTCCATTTTTGGTTCTAACTACCCAACACTACTTTTTTGTTTAACCTTCGCCTAAAAAATCTTACAAATTGAAATCACATTTAAATGTAAAAATGTTTATGACTATATTTTCGGCCCAACCCTTAAAAAAAATATCTGCTCTGTAAAAAATTCCGGTTAAAACAGTAAAAAAATCGGCACTCAGGTTGCCGGTGCTTTTTACCGCAAAATCCATTTTTACCGGAACATGATACGAAACAGAAATTCTGATATACCGCGATTGCTACAGCAATAATCACTGTACAGGCTGCGTAGCCAGATTTTTCAACGCACCTTTTAAGCACTCCAAACATAATTTTAATCACTTTCCAAAAAAAAAAAAAAATCATTAATAGGATCTGTGCAGTAATAAAAACATTTTTTTCCCTATCGTTTAAAGTTCTTAATTTACAAACATAAATTAAATTCAAAAACATTTTCAAAGACATAATCTTTCATAATCTTCTTTAATAATTTCTTTACATAATTATGATAAAATAACTAGTTTCTCATAAATATTGCAGAGTAAATTGTGAAAATCATGCATTTCTTGTAATTTAAAACGACGATCGATACGGCAAAGATAAAATTTCTTTTTAAATTAAGCTCTTTTTACAAACCTCGAATATAAAAGCACCTTTAAGGGCTTTTAAAAAACGTAAATCAAAAATAAGTACTTTTTAAAAACGCTACCACCCTGCTGTAGAATAACTCTAATTAATAAATATTACTGTAAATATATTTTAAGGTAAAAACGGATTTTACGTAAGATGTACCGTAAGTACCATTTTAGAATATTTTTTCACAGTGTAGGCACGCTTATGGACTTTACTAATGCTAACTTACATTGTTGCTTATTTTTAGTAACAATTTATATTTAACTGTTACTACTTTAATATATAAATTTCTTTTTTTTAGCCCACTACCCTGTTTTACCAGCAAAACTTATAGCGTCCAAAAAGGAAGTACAAATAGAAAAAATTAAGCTTCAGTACCATACCATGGAGAAGCCAAAGAGTCAGAACTCAGCAGCAGACATTCCTCGCACTATGGTCCTCCTTATTGTTATTCCTCTAATCTTATTAGTTAATCACAAACAGCTAACAGCAAGGTTCTTGTAACATATCAACCATTGAAAAGTCTGTAATTTATTGGCTTACAGAGGCCACCCAACGACGCACTATATCATTGCATCTGTTGATTAGTACCAGAGTTAGGATGTTGATCTGATAAATTTGTAGAAATGTCCTTAAAATACGCCTATAGAAACCATAAAAAAATTAACTTAAAATAATAAATAACTTTAAAAATTTTTAAACAAGTTTTTTATTATTTTAACAAAAATATATAATAAATTGTAACTTGTATTCAGAAATTAAATAAAATATAAGGTAATAAATGAAATGAAATAGATCGATAGGTAGATCAAAAACAACTTATGAATAAAATTTAAATAAATCCCTGATAATTAAGAATTCATTAATTTTTAATTACAATCTTCAAGAACATCAGAATTGTATTGCATCGTTAAACTTCTAATATTTTTAAAATTAAAAGATTGTCTTTTGTCCCAAAGAAAATTCTTATATCTTAAAAACTTTATTCAACATCAACACTTGTAATTGGAGGATGTTTAAAATAACAAAATTCAATTCAAAATTTACATTAATTTATAGAGAAAAATTCGCTTAAAATGAAAAATAGCATTCAAAATTCATAAAAAAATTATTAAAAAGGAAAAAAAAACCCGAATAGGTACCCTAAAAAAAACCATGAATAATGCTTTATAGAAGATAAAATAACCAAACAAGCAATCATCATCAACATTCTAGCTCTGGTTATTACGTTTTGAATACCTTTTATTTGTTGAGATTTGAAAGACACACATCTTTTGCTCTTTTATCTTGCACATTTATAGAACTGATGAGAATAAAAATTTGGATAGATTTTATGTAGTTTAATAGCAAGAACTGATGAAGGTAAAATATGCGACCTATGTATTTATTTTCATTTTCCCCATTTTCTCACCTGTATAAATGATCCACTTAGATATGAAATAAATTATCAAAACCTTCTATTTATTATTTCTAATTTTTTAAAAGTCGCATACCATTGAATGTATACACTGTTGTGCTAATCACAGTATATGGATAAATTTAAAACAAATAACTGAAATTGATACTAAAATGAATTTTCTTGTCCTACAGATAAGAACATTAAATCTTAGCAAATGCTAAAGCAAATTACGCTGAATAAAGGCAATATAGGGCTCACGAAGTTGAAGGCAAAGACAAAAAAGGGCATCAAAAAAATTAGAAGTTTTGCAATTAAAAAAACTATTTTGACAAGTAATTATGTGAACCATAATGTTATGAAAGCTTTACAATTTTTATCATGTGTTAGAGCTTATCGAATTTTGAAATTCATAGAGCTTTGTAACTTGTAACACATTAAATCTTATTCTACAAAAATATTTTTATATTTTGTTTCAAAGTTTAAAATAACTAAGTTCAAGAGTTATTTTTTATTTATGTTTTTTTTTTTTTACTCTGGGCTGTTTCCTTTTGCCCTTTTGTTTTTCTATTTTCTTTTTTAAAATACAACACCCAATGAATTTTTTCAATTTGATATTTGTGACAGCAGAGTAGAGTTTAAAATAAACACGTAAAAAAAAATTGATCCATACCTTTTAAAAAGGTAACTCAACCTCAACAGTTAAATAATAATAATAAAAAAAAAATTGTGGTGCAGACATGGATGGTCCAATAGAAAGTGTACCAGTGTGGTACCTACATTTTATATAAATGTTATAGGCTATTTTATTTACATAAATGTTTAAATTTCATGAATTTTTACAGACAGTCGCATCTTGTAGACTGAAATTTCTCATAAATGCTTATACTTTTAAAAATACAGAAAAAAAAAGCTAAAACATTTTATTTTGTGCAGCTGAAATTAACAAGCTTTTATAATGCATAATGATGATTGTGGATTTCATTGTGATGAGTAGAAAAAAGAGAATTGTCCATTATGTCAACAGAATACATTAGATTTTAATCTTGTAACGATAATTATCAAGAAAATTATAAGGTAACTTTAAACATAGACTGGATAGAAAAATTCTAAATCACATTTTTAAGAAAAATTGATATTTCCCAGAGAAAGATCTTATTTTAGTCTTATTAAAAGTGTTAGTAAATTTCAGAGATTTTAGTGGATTACAGTACTAAGTAGTAGCTTTTGAAGTGCAAGAAAGTTCTAAAAGCTTTTGACAATAACATTCGGCAAATAACCATAGAAGCGTCTTTTGGTAATGAATTGAAGAGCTAAAAATGAGTGATATGACATGAACAGTTTAAATGTTTCTTAACGATTTTTATATTTCTACCAATTTGAAGCTTGTGAAATAAAGGCATATTTCCAATTGTCAATATCTAATTTTTAAAGTTATTTTACTTAAATTAATGAAACTATTTTTGAAACAATTGTCGTCAGAATAAAAGTTAGTAAATATATTTTTGAAATTTGCCATTAAATCAAAGGACACATACAAAGAATAACTTGGTCATAATTTATTTATGAATGAAAAATGCAAATAAAAACACTATTAAGATCTATGAACAATAAGTGCAAAATTTAAAAATCACAGGACGGATAAACACACTCGAACAAGCGAACACGATTATCACAATCAGATCTTTTAAGGCAATGCATGGATTTTTACAGATTAATATTTTTACAGAAAAAGTTTAATTACAAATTAAAAAAAAATATTTAAAGTTACCAAGTGTATATGGCACAGACATTTTTTTTTTTTAAAACAAAGAAATTAAGTAAATATACTGTCAGAATAAATTTAATTTTACATCAAATTAACACATTGATATCTTTATAAAAGAATATCAACATAATATGTGAAAATATTTCAATGTAGCGGAGTTGTATTTTCTTTATAAATATATTTAAAAACACAGGGTAACTATACTGTAAATTTTACTGTTTATACTAATTGCTGAAAAAAGCTAAATTAGACTTTAATGACTAAATTTTAAATTCTAATCTATAAAAAAAGGTGATTGTTTTCATTAAAGTAAAAAAATAATTGAATTTTGATTTATTGCGCATAATTATTTATTTTAATCATTATTGCATAATTTTATTTAGAAAATATTTAAAATCTAATAGAATAAAAACAAATATGAAAGCATTTAAGATAAATAACACAAACAATGTATTAAAAAGGAAAGCGTCATTGACTAAAATCTAACAAGGCAATAAAGAAAATTGTTTATCCTATGAAAACAGTGCAACGACAAACATATGTTAGCTTAAAAAACAATTATTAATTTAAAAAAAAAAAAAAAAAATTGTGGAAATTGTAAGGAAAAACGCCATTTTAAAAAGCGTACAATTTCTCCCGAATCTGTAGCTAAATCTAAAATTTTTTATATTAAAAAAAGGACAAAATTAAGGAGATATAAAATACAAAAACTTTTATATACGGAAAAACTATTTATGTTGCTACTATATTAAACAGCGACACAACTTTGGAAACAGATTTTCCTACATAATTCAATGTACATTTTTCTAATGAAATATTTACATTATAGAATATGTTATGTATAAACCTTAAAAAATGCATATTTAGAGCTTAATATTAATTTCAGAAGCAATATTAAATATTGTGTGTAAAATTCTAAAAAGAGACATTTTGAGTTTTTACTACTTAAGTTAGATTTGGTTAGATTTACACAAATTTGGGACCACACACATAACTATGCTAGTTATAATATAGATGGCAGCTTCAAGGATCTATAAAAATAACAAAACTATTCAATACAATCTCCATAGTTATCAATTAGGCAGCAAGGTGATGAACACATGAAACTTTAGATTAATGATTAAAAGCGACGAAATATACATTAAGTATCACATTAATGATCAGTCCAAATTTATACACTTATTAAAATATATTATGATTCATAAATGATGCGAGTGCTTTCATTATTATAATGAATGCACAGTAATTTTAAATGATCATAATCACAAACACATATAGATATTAAGTACAATATAAGCATATCACACAGAATTGATAACAAGGAACATAGAAAAATATTTTTTTGTTTGTAACTATTCCATTGATTGGAATACTTTAAATGCAACACAATAACAACATATTCAATCATAATAACATTAACCATATTTAACAAATTTCAAAGCATCAATATGAAAATTGAAACTGTTACTTATAAATTAAAAAATATTAAAAATAGGACAAAATAAAAGCAATCGAGAGCACAGGTATGCTAATCAATCTAATCAAAATACGAACTTTGTATTCCTTTTGTAATGTTTGGTATACATTTTTTTTCCTATCAGCTGATCATCACAATTAGAAAGACCAGCTTTTACACACAATTATTTTAATAAGCTGCACTCTTGATTTGTCATTTGTTATAAATAATGTATTTACAATAAAACATGACAAGAAGGGGGGTGACTTCAAATTTGGTATGATAATTCTGTACAGTATGAAACAAGAATATGAATAATATTATCGTGTTCCCATCTGGGTAGTATACAGAGAATAATAACGACCCTTGCGATTTAAAAGTTCTTGATGAGTTCCTTTCTCTACAACTTGTCCTTTATGGATGACCATAATCACATCAGCATTTTGAATGGTTGTCAGTCGATGGGCAATTACCAAGCATGTACGACCACTACTTGCTTTATCTAAAGCTTCTTGAACAACCTTGAAGATAATAAATATTATTAAAATTTCAATTGCATGAAATTACAATTTGTTTCCAGAGAATTGTAGAAACATTAAAGATAAAAGGAAAATGAAATGGATGTAAATTAAAAATATGTTAGTTAACTCAAAAAATTAGCTTTAATATTACTTATTTAAAAAAAAAAGCATTGATAAAATAAGCAATAAAAGCATTGATAAAAAAAACTTTACAATTTTCATTTGTCAATGCTGATTATTATTTGATTATACTTAATTATAAAATATATTAACACCTAAAAATTGCCTCATAGCAAAAATAAAATAGTATGTAAGAGTAGGGTATCGTAAGACTTCTTCAGTTATAGTTGTTGAAATATATTTAGGCTTGGCTTGTTAAAAAAAAAAAGCCTTTCATAGACTAAACATTTAAGTATATTGGCTAAATATGCAAAATAAAAAAGTGCAGTATATTCATAAAGCATTAAGGAATTACTAAAACTTATTTGCACATACTAAGAAATACTATCTGAAGCTCATAAATATTTAACAAGAGTTTATTATATATGTCACATTTAATACCTATGACTGTTTCTAAAGTTCTAAAAGCTTAGCTCTTAGCCTATAAATAACCACTTGCATGGAACTTAACAGTTTTGAAATTGAGCAAATTTATATATAAATATCTGTTGATCTATTACTTCCTTATGGTAAAATAAAGGATAAATTTTTTTTCCCTTTTGTTTGGGTGAAAGATTGTTTTTAAGGTTATTTCTTATTTAATAAATTCACTACTGCAGTCCCATAAATGTTTTCAGTTGGCAATATCAATTCCTTAATTATTTTTTTGGATCTACAGTAAAAACAAATGGAAGGTTCAAATGATAGAGTGTTAGCAAATGTTCAAGTAATTTTGTCTTAGCAACATAATTATTAAAATTTGAAAAATGACATTAGTAAAATGATATAAGCAAGAATATGAAATTTAATACTTTTTTTAAAAGGCAAGATAAACTTTAGCCAGTATTGAAAAAAACCCTTTGTGAACTAAAAATATTAAAATAATTATTCAAATAAATATTGTACTTAAGAACAATTAGAATACCTTTTCACTTTCAGCATCCAGTGCAGAAGTAGCTTCATCCAACAGTAAAATCTTTGGATTTCTTAATAAAGCACGAGCTATGGCAATCCTTTGTTTTTGGCCCCCGCTCAATTGAGCTCCTTTGTCTCCAACAGGAGTGTCATAACCCTAAAATTGGTATATAGGATTATGTGATGAATCATTATATACTAAGATATATTTTATTGACATATTTGCAATAATAACTATCATTAATAAAGTGAATTTTTATTTAGTATGGATGTACAGTATGTAAAAAAGAAGAAAAAAAATTTAATAACTTTTAATCTAAAAGTCTGATTTTCACATGATAGGATTCAATCTTAATGGTTGGTGACCTCAAATATGCTAATTAGGGCAGGTGGTATTTTAAGTTACAAAAATATAGTTTCCCTGAATAAATATTTTTTTTTATTGATTATAATTTCTAACTTTCAAAACATAGGGGGGTAGCCGCAATCTGAGAAATGTGATCCCAATAGTTTCGTTAGGAGAGTGGTTGAAAGTTTTAACCTATTAATGTTAATTTTGCTCATTGCGTACTAACTGTCATAACTTGAGAACTTTTTAAGTGAATTGAAATTTTTTTCACACAATTATAACATTTGTTTATCGTTATTATAAAATTTCTCGTAAGATAATGCCACGTAAAAAATAATTTTTAATAATCATTTATTTAATTTAATAATAGTGAAAAAAATTTCGAATTGTAAGGTATGCAATTTTTATTAATTTAAAAAAATTAATTTTCCATTGCATAATATGAAATTTGAACAAAATCTGTCAAATAGTTCTCAGAAATAGACTTTTAAGAAAATCAGATTTTCAAAATCAATTTCTTAGGAATATTTGACTGGTTTTGATATGTAAAATAAATTTTATTTTAAATGATGTAAATTTTTTTTATATTTTACATTGTAACTTTTTTTTTGATTATTATTAAATAAAATAATAAAACAAAATAAATATTTACTAAAAGTTATATTTTGCATGAAATTATCTTCGGATAAACAAACTTTTTAATTGTGAGCAAAAATTTTCAATTTGCTTAAAAGCTCTTAAGATATGGAGATATACACAAAAAATAAAATTAATATTAAGAGATCCAAGCTTTGGACAGCCCACCTGACAAAACTATTGGCACCATATTTCTCAAATTGCAGCTACTTCCTATAGTTTGGGGATCAGAAATCAAATCCATAAAAAATAAGCTATGTTTATTTAGAGAAAGTATGTTTTTATGTCTGATTCATAACTTAATATATTGTCTGCACATATTAATTAGTATATTTGATGTATTAGTATATTTGTATATTTGATGATTAGTATATCGATGAACCATTAAGTTTGAGTCTTAAAACGTGAGTTTGAATCATTATATAAGGGGAAAAAGTAATGTCCTTAAAAAGAAAAAAGAAAGCTTATTAACCTCTTCCCATGTGAGTAGAAAACTGTCTTTTTTTGAACACTCAGTTTCTTTGTGATTATTAAATATTAATTCTTTAAAAAATACTATTTTCCAAACTTTTATTTTCACAAACTAAAATGTCATCATTATAAATTTTTATCAATGAAAAAATATCGTAAAAAGATTTTAATGTATGCTTCAATCAACTGATCTATTCAGACTGAACTATTTCATAAAATAATATTCACATAAAAAAACTTTTTTTTACAGAAAATGAAAAGTAAAAATTGCAGAATTAAAATAAAAATATTACATAATAAATTATTCTTATAATTTTTGAAAACGTGATAAAGAAGTTTTTATATAAATAAGATTTTAATTTTTATTTAGGATTTAATTCTGTATTAATAACAGAGTAAGTAGTAAAAAAGAAAATGAGCTTTTTAATTAGAAGAAATGAAAAAAAAAAAAAAAAAACGTGTTGCACAATTTTTTCCCTTGTTATTTGGATTTCTTTTTTAAAAGGCAGCGGTTACATTTGTGCAAAAAATCAGAACAAATTCATAGCATAGCTTAATACATAATTTTTAATGAAAATTTTATATTAAAGGAAATAAGAAAACTTCTACTAATAAACAAAATAATTAAGGCAAATTCTAATAAAAAAACAAGACAAATTCTTTCAAAAATAATAAACCTAATAATATTTTTATTAAATATATCTAATAAATAGGAAATCTGATCAAACAATTTACTTAAATTGTATTCCCATATTAATTTATACTGGAAAAAAAATTGAATAAAAAGTTACGAGATAAACCAGGTAAAAGATTTCAAAAATTCAATTACTTACCAAAGGTAATGAAGCTATAAAACTGTGTATGTTGGCTTGTTTTGCAGCTTCAATAATTTCATCCATAGTAACAGTTCTAGAATTATCTCCATATGCAATATTTTCTGCCAGGCTGTAGCTAAACAACACCGGTTCTTGTGAAACAAGACCAATATGGGATCTTAGATTTGATACATTCATGTCCTTTACACAAGTATCATCTAACATCTGGAAACACAGTGGAATGTAAGAAATGCTTGTGTATGACACAATATTACAATTATTGAAATTGCAAACTATAAAAATAATGGCAAAAAATTTAGAGGCATTTTTAATTGCATTAAAATAAAAAACTACTAAGCATGGTTGCAATTGACTTATTTTTGTTGACATGATGGTGTCCAAATTCACAAAATAATATACTTAAGAATACATTTCAGTTAAATGGTACCTTCTATTTACAAAGTAAAAACTGTTATATTTTATATTATAACCGCAGTTGAACAACTGACCCAATTCTGAGTTTACGACCATCAATGTTCAACTCCGTAGCCTTGTAATTTTGAACCAAATTAAGAAGACAAGGAAACCCCGAAATCAAGCATTGAAATAAACTAGCCTTCATGGAGGACTTTTTTGATGGAATTATCTTGCATTTGTATTACATAGAGCGGAAAACCACAAAACCTTCCAGGATAAGCTTGATGGCAAGGAGATTCTAACCCGTGATTTGTCTACTACTAAGGATATTTTAGGTTAGCGCAATCTGGGAGCAGAATTTATATCGACCTGCCACCACTGGGATTCGAACCTGGATCACTTCATTGGGAGGTGAATGCTCTATCCCTTGAGACACTGTGGTTTGTGAAAACTGTTAAACAAAAAACTTTATATAAATAAAAATTTAAAAATGTCTTACCACATGACCACGATGAGCATCATAAAATCGTTCAATCAGCTGAATACAAGTACTTTTACCACAGCCACTACTTCCAACTAAAGCAACTGTCTGTCCAGGTTGGACTTCCAAATTTAGACCTCTTAAAATCTTTACTCTATGACGACTGGGATAGTTAAAACGTACATTTCTGAAGCGAATATATCCCTTGACATCCTCCTGAAATATACAACAAAAATTGAACATCATGTTTCAATTATAATTTTAAATCAGTAAGACCTCTTCACATCAGAAATGTTCAAGTCAACACAATTTGAAAAAAATTTCAAAAAACTTTTTACTTTTAAACAAGCCATAGTTATTTCAATTAGAAAATGTTAAAAATGTCATGCCATACTAATGTCTTTATTTATTTACTATTTTTTGATGTTTTATCAACAGTCAAATAATCTGACCAATCAAAATCTATGTTTTAATTGACATCATTAAAAGACAAAGAAATGAATGGGGGAAACGATTTGAATCACAGACAATGAAGTTCATAACTTTAATATCACCACAAAAAAATCTTTGAAACTTTTATGAAGTACCCAAACTTTATTAGTCAACTTGTTTGCACTTTCACTTTAAAAATCAAATACATAATTTAATAACATGATATTAAAAAAAACATCTAAACAGAGCAATACAAATCCCATACTAATATATAATGTAATTATTTATTAACTTCTTTATAGTTACTAAAAAGGGAAGAATCAAAACTAAAAAAGACACTAAAATAAAAGCTAATAATTCTTCTTTAAAAGATATTGATAAATAAATAATTAAATTGCTAAATCTGTAAGAATATGAAGAGGAGCATATTTTAAAGTACATCAAGACTACACTATGACACATTTTTATTGCTTTTTATTCAGTCAACTATTATTCCTTTTTACAAAGTAAAAAAAAAACAAACACTGGTTTTAATACTGAATTGCCGAACAAGGCATGGCACCATAAAAAAAGAGATACAAACCAGAAAACGGCCAGCAGTAGAAAATACATCAACAGTCGGTTTCAGATCCAAAAGTTTGAAAATTCGAACTGCAGCAAGCTTTGCCTTCTGATAATCAGGAGCAAAAGCAACTGCTTGACCAACCATTGATGTTCCTAAAATAACAGCTTCAATAACCCTAGATAGAAAAAAAAAGAGAAACATTTTAATAACCAGATTAGTTTTTTGAATTCATTAGAAGAAATTTTTAGTCAATTATTGAAAACATTGGTTATTAATTGCAACTAGTAGATTAGTCAACAAGAGTTTGAAAAAATTGTTTTTTAAATTTTCTAATTTCTCAGTAGTTGTTTAAGTTAACAAGCTATATTATGATGTGTATTCAAAGTTAATTTATGAATATTTAAGTTACAAACATGAACTATATTTTTAAATATGGCCTAAAAATTTATTTAAATACTAAAATATTACTCACTTTGCCTGCAATGAAAAAACACATGTAATAAAAGAATAAATATAGATATATTTTGAAACAGCAAAATTTGAAATTTCATTTGCTTGTCTAAAACTGATTTAGGAATGTCGTAATAAAATCATGAAAAATAAAACCAACTAATTATTAATATGGAAAAATATGAACATTATATGAGTTAAGTTATAAAAAAGTTAAAAAAAGAAAAGAACACATAAAACTGTATAAATTGGTAAAATAGAAATAAACAGGAGACAAAATTTTAATTAAAGCAGCCTCGTTAATACACTAAACAATAGATTATTATACTCAGTTTTTGAACAAAAATGATTATGAATTTAACATATTATTTACAATATAAACATCAAATACTAGAAAATATAACATAAAACTTTACTAGCTAAAAAAAATACAGGAGTAAACTTTACTTAAAAAGGTCTGGATATGTAAGGGTTCCTTCTGCTATCAGTATACTTCCATAATACATAGAGGTTGCATATGCAAAAGAAGGTATACTTTGAGCAAACCCAAATGTCACACCTCTAACTTGAGAGTTCTTTCTTGATTTCCTAGAAAAGAAAATAGTGGCCATCAAGTACCTTTGATATAATTTATAGCATATTCAAAGATATCCCAGTGTGTTATATGCAGCAAAACAAACTGTTCAATATCCAAACATTTAAAACACTTTGAGTGAGGAAGAAACAACTGCAGCCAGGTTACTAAGTAGTGAATATATTGAAATAGAAAGAAATACTGAATAAATTTAAAAGCAGCATAAAACATGGCAGAAAATGCAAATATTTTTTAGCCATTAAATTAATATTTTGTAAGAAAATATCCATTTCCTTCCAAAACAGTTTCAACAACAAGATGCTCAATAATCCAGGTTATCGACGACTTTAGTTAATTTTGTGCAATTTAGATAAATTACGGTTCTATGACAAACTTGCATTTGAAATTATCAAATGGAACTTAATTACGATAAAATAAATTAATTATATTTTTAAAGCCATTAAGACATAAAAATTCGTTCAATAATATTTAAGACTCATGTTTAAAGACTCTATTGAGCAATTGAACTTGAATATTATAAAAATTAAAAGAAAAATAATAAATCATTTAGAAAAATTGGTTCTTACAAAAAATAGACACAGTAATAAAAAAATACAGCATTTTTCATTATTATATATTATCAAATTTATGGTTTATGTTTGGAATTAAAATGTAACAGAAATGAACTTACTTGTGAGGCTCATATAATGCATTTCTAAATTTCATATAAAATGAGTCTTCTTGATGCAGTGAAGCAACAGTTCTAATACTTTCGATTGCTTCAATAGCAACCTATAAATGCAAGTGTCATCAGTTATTTGAAGGGAAAAAAACACACACACACATACACTTTTAAACTAAATCTGATTTAAACAATATCCAACACATGATATGAAGTATTCATTTTATCTGAGGAAATGCTGGTATCCGTCTCTTTTTCATTTTAATTATACACATTACAAAAAGTACATGAAAAAAAATAATAATCAGCACAATGGTCTATTTTTAGTAATACTATACGAAACTATTTAGTATATGAAAGCCAACACTTAAAGGCAATAATGGGACCACACACATTTAATTCTCTGATTGCTGCTATTACCAATTTTGTAAAATAGAAATTTAGCGCATCATTATATCAAATATATATATACACACACACACACACATATATATATATATATATATAGATATANTAATAGTGAAAGACTATTTTCTATCATACAAAGACCAGGAAAAAAATTTGCAAAAGATTTCAGTCCTGGAAGATGAGGCATTTACTTTGAACTCAATGTCTAAAAAACAATCTACTATTACGCACTATTTTGCACCTAAATTACATGATTCTTAACAAAAATTGTAAAAATGATCTTGAACTGGTATGTTTTTTTCTTTAAATACTAATATTCTTTTCGTAAAATATAGATTTTAATAGTACCTTTTGAAAGAGTCATCTTTACTACCTTTAGTTTGTTTTATTTTCCCATTATTATTATATGATTTTTTGCTATCTAAGTATTTCCCGTATTTTACGTTTTCCCGGATTTTACGTTTTTTTTACCCAGTCCCCTGAGAAACGTAAAATCGGGGTTTCACTGTAATTATAATTTAAAATCAGTAACACCTATTCAGAGCAGAATTGTTTAAGTTAACAAAATTCCAAAAAGCTGTTCACTTTTAAACAAGCCATAGTTATTTGAATTAGTTCTAAAATATTAAAAAAATCCTGCCATACAAATGTCTTTATTTTATTTTTTTTGGATGTTTTATCAACAGTCAAATAATCTGACTCATTCAAATCTACGTTTTAATTGATATGGTTAAAAGACAAGGAAATGAATGGGCCAATGAATCACAGACAAGGAAGTTCATAACTTTAATATCACCACAAAAAAAAATCTTTGAAACTTTTATGAAGTACCCAAAATTTATTAGTAAACTTGTTTGTAGTATCACATTAAAAATCAAATACAGTCAGACCTCAATATAAGGTTATCCGCATGTAAGGTCACCCCACATATAAGGTCACTTTTCCAAAGTCCCCGCTCACTGAATAGGAATTCTTTGTTACAGATTATCGGATATATGGTCAAGTTTTAAAAATCGCTATCGCTTATAAGGTCATTTTTATCCAAGGCGAGGGGAGCTCTTTTCCAACGAAAGTCTATTTAACTTCTTTACAAGGTAATTACCCCTCTCAAGTTCTATGAAAATGTTGCAACCAACGAACAAGCTGCAATTTCTGAAATTGTTTCACAGTGAGGAAATGACAGTGATCCTGAGACTGTAGCTGTAATCTAAGCGTAAGCCTTCAATGCAATAAATGTCATACGAAATTTTTTAACAAACCATGAGGGAGCTGAGAAACATTTTGAGAAGTTACAAAATATAGAAAACATTAGAAAAATGAAACCAAATACGAGACAGATCTGCATAAATGATTTATTTTTAATAAAATAAGATGTAATGTATGTATGTACACTTTGAGGAAATTTGTAAACAGCTTTATTTTAAATTAAAATTTTTTTAAAAATCTAACTTTCTTTAATTCTTTACTAATTCTGTTAAAATTTATTGACTTAAATATTTAATTTATGGCCGATCGTTTTTGTTTGCATTACCATTTTTAAAAAATCATAATGTGTACTATTTACGTGCTTAGTTACGAACTGCTAATGAATTGGTTAAAAGGTCACCCCGCTTATAAGGTTACTTTCGCAATGTCCCTTAGAGTGACCTTACATCGAGGTCTGACTGTGCATAATTTAATAACCTGACATTGAAAAAAATCTAAACAGAACAATACAAATCCCACACTAATATATAATGTAATTATTTATTAACTTCTTTACAGTTACTAAAATGGAAGAATCAAAACTAAAAAAGACATTAAAATAAAAGCTAATAATTCCTCTTAAAAAGATATTGATAAATAAATAAATAAATCTATAAAAATACGAACAGAAGATCATTTTAAAGTGTATCAAGACTACACTATGACAAATTTTTTATTACTTTTCATTCAGTCAACTATTATTCCTTTTTTCAAATATAAGTAAAAAAAAAAAAAAAGCAAACACTGGTTTTAATATTGGATTGCCGAACAAGGCGTGGCACCATAAAAAAAGAAATACAAACCAGGAAACGGCCAGCAGTAGAAAATACATCAACAGTTGGTTTCAGATCTAAAAGTTTGAAAATTCGAACTGCAGCAAGTTTTGCCTTCTGATAATCAGGAGCAAAAGCAACTGCCTGACCAACCATTGATGTTCCTAAAATAACAGCTTCAATAACCCTAGATAGAAAAAAAAAGAGAAACATTTCAATAATCACATTAGTGTTTTGAATTCATTAGAAGAGATTTTCAGTCAATTATTGAAAACATTGGTCATTAATTGCAACTAGTAGATTAGTCAACAAGAGTAGAAAAAATTGTTTTTTAAATTTTCCAATTTTTCAGAAGTCGTTTAAGTTAACAAGCTATATTTTGATGTGCATTCGAAGTTAATTATTTATGAATATTTAGTTACAAACATAAAATATGATGCTTTTAAATATGTCATAAAAATTTATTTAAAAACTAAAATATTTCTCATTCTTTCAGGCAATGAAAAAACACATGAAATAAAATATAAATATATTTTGAAACTACAAAATTTGAAATTTCATTTGTTCGTCTAAAACTGGTTTAGGGATGTCGTTATAAAAGCATAAAAATAAAACCAACTAATATGGGAAAAAATCAATATTATATGAGTTGAGTAATAAAAAAGTTAAAAAAGAATCCATAAAACTGTATAAATTAGTAAAATAGAAATAAACAGGAGACAAAATTCTACTAATTAAAGCAGCCTTGTTAAAACACTAAACAAAAGATTATTATATTCAGTTAAAAACAAAAATGAACAAAACAAAATGATTACGAATTTAATATACTATTTACAATATAAACATCAAATACTACAAAATATAATATAAAACTTTACTAGCTAAAAAATAAAGGAATAAAATTTACTTAAAAAGGTCTGGATATGTAAGGGTTCCTTCTGCTATTAGTATACTTCCATAATACATAGATGTTGCATATGCAAAAGAAGGTATACTTTGAGCAAACCCAAATGTCACACCTCTAACTTGAGAGTTCTTTCTTGATTTCCTAAAAAAGAAAATAGTGGCCATCAAGTACCTTTGACACAATTCATAGCATATAGAAAGATATCCTAGTGTGTTATATACAGCAAAACAAACTGTTCAAATTGCGAACATTTAAATCATTTTAAGGATGAAACAACTGCAGCCATGTTACTAAGTAGTGAATATATTGAAATAGAAAGAAATAATGAATAAATTTAAAAGCAGCATAAAACAATGTAGAAAATGCAAATATTTTTTAGCAATTAAATTAATATCATGCTAGAAAATTTCCATTTCTTTCCAAAACAATTTCAAAAACAAGATGCTCAATAATCCAGGTTATCGATGCCTATAGTAAATTTAATGCAATTCAGATAAATTGCAGTTCTATGACAAAATTAAATTTGAAATTATCGAATGGAACTTAATTATGATCAAAATTATTGAATGGAACTTAATTACCATCAAATAAATTAATTATATTTTTAAAGTCATTAAGACATAAAAACTCATTCAGTAATATTTAAGACTGATGTTTAAAGATTCTATTGAGCAATTGAACTTAAATATTATAAAATTAAAAGAAAAATAATAAATCTTTTAGAAAAATTGGTGCTTACAAAAAACAGTAATAAAAAAAAATACAGCATTTTTCATTATTATATATTATCAAATTTATGGTTTATGTCTGGAAATAAAATGTAATAGAAATGAACTTACTTGTGAGGCTCATATAATGCATTTCTAAATTTCATATAAAATGAGTCTTCTTGATGCAGTGAAGCAACAGTTCTAATACTTTCGATTGCTTCAATAGCAACCTATAAATGCAAGTGTCATCAGTTATTTGAAGGGGGAAAAAAACACACACACACACACACTTTTAAACTAAATCTGATTTAAACAATATCTAACTCATGACATGAAGTATTCATCTCATCTAACAGGGTGCATAGCCAGATCTTTCAACAAAAAATAAGCACCTTTTAAGCACTAAAAAATATTTTTAAGCACTATATACACTAACAAAATGCAAAATAATTTTCAAAGACTTTAGATGATCATGAGAAAATAACTAGTTTCTGACAAAGAACTCTTTTCTTGATCATACTAGCCATTATAAAATGATCGAGAGATTTTTCGTTTCTATATCAAAGGGTGGAAAATGAAGTCTGAAATTGAGAATATCTTGCAAAATGCTGGTAGACGCACATACGGACTCACAAGTATTTAATCAAATGTGAAAAATGATATGTGCTTTCATACGCTATGGACCGATGGTAAGCCGAAATGAATTGTGAAAACGTTGAATAGAATAATGTGAAAAGCACGCTTTTGCATAACATGTGGCAACACACGCTTTTGCATGTCTCATTTTTGAAAAGGGAACATTAAGCACTTTTTAAAAACACCCAATGAAAAAAGCACCTTTAAAGGCTTTTAAATAAAGAAAATCGAAAATAAGCACCTTTAAGCACTTTTTAAAAACGCTACGCACCATGTCTAAGGACATGCTGGTACCTGTCTTTTTTACATTTTAATTATATCCATTGCAATAAGTTAAAAAAAAAAATCAGCACAATGGTCTATTTTTAGTAATACTATTAAAAGCCAACACTTAAAGGCGATGATGGTATCACACAAATAAATTTCTCTGATTGCTGCTATTACCAATTTTGTAAAATAGAAATTTAGCACATCATTACATCAAATATTTATAGATATATACATATTTATATGAGCTTTTGCATGTACATAACCATATACAGTCAAACAACGCTATAGATAACCTTCAAGGGACCGAAATTTCGGTTCACTATAATCGGGAGTTCACCATATCCATTCCGCAAACAATTTTAACTAATGGTTCCGAACTCCTTTTTATTACACATTATTTAAATAAATGACAATAAAAAGAAATACAAAAATGACTGAAAAATAATACGTAGTAACAAAAAATGTGTTAACTTGCTTTTGTTATTCTTCGTCTTGTGTACAAAAAAAGAAGGAAAAAAAAATTAGTAATCTTTAGCTGATGCAAGGAAAATTTTGTCCATACATCTGCCTGGGTAGGCCTTTGGGTATGGAAAAGTGTGATAAAAGAACCAAACAAGAAAAAATGCTTATTGCTACTTTCCACTGTATTGATGGTTTTAAAAAAGTATTTATTTTGAAATAAGTATTTACTTTGTATAAGTATTTATTTTGGAGTAGATATTTCAAAATTATTTTTTAAAAAAATCCGTCGAAGACAGAAAAAAGTTCATAATATCCAACTTCCTCACTTTTTTAGTTCACTATATCCACAAAAAATTACATTATACGTGTATAGAAAGGCACGGGAGCGAACTTTTCGTTCACTATATCCGGGAGTTCACTATAGCGGGGTTTAACTGTATTAACCAAGAGAGCATCTTGCATTTCGTATTTTCAAAAGAATGATATGGATTCTCCAAAATAGGCCCCAAAATATTAGTTATGTGTAAATGTGTGTTAACAATATTTTTGTACATTCACAACATAGTGATTTCCCATTATAACAATAATTTTTGTTTAGATCTTACGAATCTTTAGATTGAGTATCAACTCAAGATATAGACTTTTCAAATTTTTTGATTGCAATTTATTATGGACGACTACTTTTTTATACCATTCTATCAAAAGATATTGTTTTCAAATCTAAAAAAAAATAAATAAAGCATTACCTTAGATGCAAACTCGGTTCCTGATTTTTCATTTAACATTTGTCCACTTATCACCCGACTTTCAAAGTATGTAGCAACCAACACTAATGGAATGAAGCAGAGAACCACAATTCCAATTTTATAGTTATACCAAAGACCAATTACAATAGCTGCTATCAGAGTTGACAATGCCTGAAGAGCGGTAGAAATACGAGATCCTGTTGCCTATTTGAAATAAAAACAAAGCTTAAATCTTTTAAAATTAATATAAATTCAACATTTAAAAAAAATAATCATTCATTTAAGGTATTATGAAAACTTTTATGTCTGAAAGACAATCACATATGAAAGGCTTGGCAATTTGGAGTTTAAAGGAAACTTTGGCATTATTATTATTGATAATATTTCAAAAGGTAAGATATAAGAAAAACTTTAAGCATTCAGTTTTTAACACACAAAACAGGGCTTCACTAGATAGAATTTTACACATTTTGAAGAGAAGAAGTTAGTTAGGCTTATTAAAGCTCAGAGAAATCTAGACTGAATGAAAAAAAAAACAATAACAGGAATAAAAAGATTGAGAAATAAAAACAATTAATTATTTTAAAACTTTTATTTAATTATAATTAATAAGAGAAAAGTTTTCAGGGAATTTTTATTTTTAAACATAATTAACATAATTTTAAACATAGCATAAAAGTTGCATAATATAAAAATATATTTAAATCAGACTAAGACTTCTGATATTTACAACCTTTTTTTAATAAAGTTGTAACAATTTTTAAATACATAAATATAAAACACTAGCTTTTCAAATGTAAGACATTTATTTACTTTATAGATTTTACATATTAAAACAGAGTAACTCTAAGACCTGTTCTTTTAATAACATGTTATGAATATCACCAGTAATTTGAAAAATTAGAGTTATTAACAAATTATAAAAATAAAAACATTTTGAAAAATATTTTTTTTTTACATTGCACAGAATATTTAAATAAATATAGTTAAAACTTACTCCCTGAACACTAGAAGCATCTGACGTTAGTCTTGTACAAAGTGATCCGACTGAGTTAGCAGGTTGATCAAACCATGACATATCCTATATTAACAATAACAATAACAATAAAAGTTGAAATAACATAGTTGCTGAGTACTTACAAAATTGTCTAAGTATTTGGGGTTTACAAATTTTAATAATTAAAACTAGTAAGAATTGTCCAACTTATGCTGTCACATAATTAATGTCACAAATAATTAATTGTCTAAAATGGTATCATTGATACACTTCCTACTTAACAGAATAGTGTAGAAAAAGTAAAAAAAAAGTGCTTTACAACAAAGCATATGTAACAGCGTAATTATATTTAATACACATAAAAAATGACAACCATATAAATGGATTCATAATTATTTTAAAGGATAAAGGACATTTTAAATAAAATTACTAATTGTTGCAAAAAATTATCCTATTTATTTATAAATGTATATTTTTCCATTTTTAATGAATTAAACATACATCCTATTGATACCTTTAAACGTGGGCAGATTTGTGAAAAAGTTATGAAATATCCTACTGGTGCCTTTAAGAAAGGGAAGATTTGAAAGAAAGTTGTTAAACAGGCATCCTAGTGGTGCCTTTAAAAGTTGTTAGATTTGTGAGAAAGCTTCTATCTTGTGATATTTTTATGATACGGAACAATATACAGAGTTTTCTTATCCAACTGCATAAGAAAAATTGATTTCTCCATGCAGAAAAGTAAACATATCTATAAGCAATTTTATACAGGACAGGTTGAGCAATTAAGTGTGGAAAATATTTTATTATATTCAATAATTATAATAAATTCATGTAAATAATAAAAAACTAATGGACAGAAATTAACGTACTTGGCTAATAATAGTTGTAAACACCATGACTCTTAATCTCCCAGTCAATTTTTCACCAGCAATTGAAAACATGAAAGTCTAGGAAAAATAAATGCAAAAAATTAAACACTTATAACAAAATCTCAAGACTGTGTGAAGAATTCACACTAGTTCTTTTTAGAAGTTGAAAGATACAAGTTAAATATTAAGTTTTAGCAATAAACATATTTAAAATGCTTTCTTTTTTTCATATACAATACTATTTAAGATTTATTAGATTTATTTATATTTTTCAATTCTTACCTGAAGAAAACTAGCAATGCCAGAACAAATGGCCATGGCAACAAACAGCAAAGAATAAAATGAAATGTCAGTTAAGATTTGATCATTTTGCTCAGCTAAAACCTATGTAAAAAAAACAACAAATTAACATCTTAAAAAATAATATCATCACTTGCAATCATCTTCAGATTTAGTTTTGTAACTATACAATTCTCCAAAGCAAATTAATTCTATTTATTAAGTAAATTTAAGTTAAATAAATACTTTTTTTAGATGAAGTAGAAAAAAAAATTGAAGTGCTGTTAATCAAAACAGAATTTGAATTATGGAGGCAAACATTAGCATAAAGTTGATAAAAATTATTTCCACACAAAACATTTCTGCATAAACTGATGTGTGAGTTTTCCAACTTAGCTATCAGTTAACAGAAGTAGGATAACATAGAAGTATAATAGAAATTAGAGTTATCACAATTTAAATTAGCATAATTTTAAGATGTATATATACAACTTAATTCTATATGGATATAAAATATTAACAAAATTATGCTTGGATTTCACTGTTAAATAAAAAATATTGGCACCAAATTATAAATTTTTGAAATTTATACTTTATTAATTTTTTATTTATACTTTTTGAAATTTATACTAGTTTTTGGTTAAATTTTCATTTTAAAAATAATCAAAACTTGGTGGAAGAGGGAAAGATAAAATAAAGTTCTTTTCTCTTGTAACTTTTTGTTTCTTGTTTCTATCAAATCATTTTTATTTTTTAATAATTGCTTTTAGAGTGATTAAGGGAGAAAAAATCATTGCATGAACCATTGAAAAATTTAAGAACTCTTAGTAGTTAAGGGGGAAAACGTATTTAAAACAGACTATAACGAAAAGTTTCAAAAACTTTACGATCATAGGGTTGAGTAATAAAAGTTAATCTTGACTAAGAAATCATAATATTTACAGATAAAGCATAATTGTTGGTACATTTGCAAAATAAATCATTATTAGAGTTCATTTTTAGAAAGAGAAAATTTATTTATTGTTATTTGATGATGATAACATTTAGAAAAGAAAAAGGAAAAATTTCATAAAAGAAAGAGTTTATCATATAGAGGTGGGAGAGGGCCTACAGTTGAACAAAAGGCAATGACGAAATACACAAATAGGCATAGTTTACAAGTACAATATGACATATTAAATTTACTCTTATTTTGTGACTTTAACACTTACTCCAAGAATATCTCCAAACAAAATGCCATAGATAGGAGTAAATAGACCCATAATTAGAGCAGCAATAGCACCAACTAGAATATATGGCCATTCAGGAGAGCACATTTTCAATAAACGAGTTTTAGAAGGCTCAAGTTCTTCATTTTCTTTATTCTCTGGCTAAAATGAAATGCACAAAAAATTATTTTTTCGAAACCTTTCAGTCTAGGGTAATTTAAAAAAAAAACTTATCATTAATTATTAATATAGTAACACAGATTATGTTGAAGTTATCTGAAATTATTTCCCAACAGAAATATATATAACAGCATATATATTTCAACTTTAATTTCTAAATATCTTACTCCATCTCAATTTTTTATTCTGCACAACCGAAAATCTGTATTTAAAGAAAAACTATGCAAAAGTATTAAGTAATTAAGCCAGAAATGGTGATCATGACAAATTTGAAACACTAAATAGTTTCCTAATAGCTAGAAAAAGATAGAATTATTAAAATTTGGGCAATGAGAGTGGGAAAAAAAATTTAATGTCTGAAAGAGCCTATCAATTCAAATCATGAAAAATTTATTAAAAAAAATGTGAAATTATTTAGTTCAGAAAAAAAAATTTATTTTCATACTTATTTAAAGGTTTTATTTTTAATACAAGGTATACATTGACTGTCTAATATACTATCAAGCTTTATAAACAAACCATCATTAAAGAGAATAAAATAACGATAAAGTAAAACAAAATATTGGACAAATATTAAGAAAAAACAGCCATATAATACAGCATTTTCTTTTTTTCTCTCTCTCAAAGTTTAGAACATTTGAAATTCCACCAAAAGTTTAAAGGATCTCTTGCCTGAAAAATTTTATAGAAAAAAAAACTATGATGGCATTAAGATAACATTGTTTGGAAATCAATTTTTTGATATTAGCTCAGATGTAATTCTTAAAGAACATGTTTAATTCACAAACATGTTGAATTTACAAACATATATTTTTAAGAGGATGCAGTTGTTTATGCTTGCCTAGAAAGATGCATCTGAAGAGATCAAATCATAAAAATCAAATTAGTTCTTAAAGATTTTAAACAAATTCACTGCAGATTTCCAACTGGTAACATCGTGCTCTGGCATGAGATCGGCAGAGAATGTATTGCAATTATTTCCTTTCATAAACGTTTTGTGATTTAAAGACAGTAAAAACATGTGTTGAGACATCTGCAAGGGCAGATTTTATATAATGAATAATGATTAAATAGACAACTACATACTTTAAAAGCAAAGCTGCTCATTCGGCTGATTCGACTGGCAGCAGAAAAGGTACGTTTGATAGGGCTATGCATATCTTCAGATTCATAAGAACCAGAACTAAGAATACTGGCTTGACGTTCTAGTGATGGAGGCATTTCGTCTAGAAAATCATCATCTGATTCTTCATCATCATCCTCATCAGCTTCTTTAGTCTGCAAATTACTCATATTTACTGGAGAATTAAATAAGAAAAGGTTTAACAATCTCTCTCTAATATTATCAACTAGTGTAGTATAAATGTACTTACACATTGACAGCTGAAAAATGTAAACAATTACGAGTTCAGTATGGTTTGCATGACTTAAATTTAAAACAAAATTTATACAAAGTAGTTTAACACAATTTTTTCAGACATAGCATGTTTTAAAATGAATTTTAATTTAATATTAATCAAATGGAGGTTTTACGAATATGAGAATTATTACACTTATTAATCGTTCACTGTGCAAAACAGACTCATCATTTAAGTATTATTTCATGAAAATAATATTGCCAAGATTATGTTACATTCTACTGTTCAAAATTACACATAAACTAGAAAATATATAAGATGTTCATACAATCTAGTTGTTTTATAAATAACTCCTACAACTATCTACTTTATAGTTCAATATAGTTATAGTTAGAGAAGTGAACTAATACAAAAAGCTATTGTATACCTGTTTGATTTGACATTATTAGTGCTTCTTCACATTGCTCTTAAGCTATGGATATACAGCTGAAAGTTAACCCAACCCACCTTGATTGAAGATATTTAAAATGGGTATAAAATGACAAGAAATTTTTTTTACTAAAATTAACCAGATGGGTATTTATATACTTAGTGACAAAGAAGAAAAATAAAATTAAAAAGCTAGTGGTCACATCTTTATTACTCCTATTGATATTTGATTATATTTATTTTACAATTTTAGTTTACTTTTGAATCTGATTATATTATTTTATAATGTATATTTTTTCCCTATTGATTACAGATTGTATTTAATTATATTTTCCCACTAACACAAACTTTTATCTTTCTTATTGATAGTGATATATTTTTACAAATTATTAGAAATTTTAGCACAGTATTTTTGATCTTAAAAAAAATTTAATGTCAGAAACAAATGTACTCAAACTAAAAGCTAATTACTAAACTAGAAGTTGTACAACATGATAATAATAATACCCTTTATTGTATTATACATTTATTTTGATTCGCTGTATTAATATTTTGAAACTATTATTTACCTGGGCTGTTACTAATTGATAATATATTCCTTTCTTTGCCATTAATTCATCATGCGTTCCCATTTCATTAACTATTCCATTAGATAATGCAACTATCTTATCAGCAGTTCGAATAGTGGAAAGTCTGTGAGCAACAATTATAGTTGTCCGTCCTTGACTAGCCTGTTAAAATATCAAACATAAGCATATAGCATTAACATGAAAACATATAGACGAATGCAACAAATATTCGGACATAATAAAAGGAAGACCTCAAACGTAAAAGTAAGACAAACTAGTACGCTAATACTAGTTTTATTAAAACCCTTTAAATGCTACTAATACAAATATGTAAGCAAGAAATACAGAAGAACTGAATAAAAGAAAAATAACAATGACTAAATTATTTTAAAATCAGGAATTATAATTATTTACATTTAGTTATATGTTTCCAAAATCCAAAAACTAAATTTGGAAAACCTATTGCTTCTAAGTAACAAAATAAATGGAAAAATGAAATTTAAAACTTGGAGACCTTAAAGATTGATACATTAGAATTTTCATTCCTCCTTAAAAGGAAGCAACAATAAATATTAAAAAGAAACACTACAGATTTGTTGAAGGTTTACATTCTGGTTAAATAAAAATTTCAATCTAAGTAGATCTTTTAACTTAGAGATATATTTGGTAAACCTAAACATTAGAAAAAATACTCTTATGTTTGCCAAAATTGCAATACTACAAAGAAATTGTCAGAAATTAATTAAATTTATTCCACATATTGCTGATAATGGTAAAAATAAGCATGTGCTATAGTGGTACACACACTCGTAATTCTAATCATTTGCATGTTTGATCTAACTTTGCATTTCATGTAAGTTTGTTCAATTAGAATTTTTTCATGGTGCTGCAATTTAAGAAAAAAATATGACTAATTTTAAAATAATTAGTAAATTCAAGAACAGAGTGGATAAATTTTTAATGTTTTAAAGAATTTGAGTAATTTAGCTTTACAATTAAAATGCTGCTCGCTTTTGTTACTTCAAACAAACTCTGAAATCTGGTATATTTGAGAATGTATATTACTCAAAATTTTGAACAGTAAATGAATTTGGTTATAACTCTTGTAACAAAGTAATATTTTAAAGATTCTTGTGTAAAGCATCTGTATCTATTAATTGAGAATTTTTAATATTCTTAAACAGACTTTTTTCAATTAAATCTAAATAAAGACACATTCATTCAGGGTTATATTCTCAAAATAAAAAAAACAAACAAAAAAAATGAAAAAAAAAAAAAAATTGGTTTTAGCCAGTCAACCCTGAATATTACATAAGTAATTCCAAATTTAATAAAAGGTTAACATAAACAGGTATATGATAAATCAAAACACAATAACTATACGATAAATTAAAACATGGTAATAAAAGGGTGAAAAATATGTGTAATAAATACTTTATCTAGAGCAGCTTGCACAACAGCTTCACTTTCAGTATCTAAAGCAGAAGTGGCTTCATCTAACAACAATATTCTAGGATTTTTTATGAGAGCTCTTGCAATAGCAATTCTCTGTTTTTGTCCACCACTCAACTGTGTTCCACGCTCACCAACAAGAGTTTCATATTTCTAAAATAAAATAGCAATATTATTTGACAGGATAGAAAAATATTACCGAATAATAAACTGGAGCCATAATATAAAATAAACTGCTGAAAAAGGTTTAATAATAAAATAAAAACCAAGCAAAACATTATAGTTTATGAAAGTGCTAAACAAATTTTAAACAAAACTGCAGTCTTGGGAAAAATAGACAATTTTTTGTTTACTCACTAAGGGCAAAGCATCTATGAAATTGTGGACATTAGCAAGCTTAGCTGCATTTTCAATTTCTTCTTGAGAAGCACCAGGTTTTCCAAGTCGTATATTCTCGGCAATGGAAGTTGAAAATAAAACAGGTTCTTGACCAACAAGACCAATATGATCTCTAAGCCAGCCAACATTCAGTTCTTGTACATCATTTTCATCAATAAATACCTAAAATATATTCATATTTTATAATTAAAATTTGTTTTAGGTAGGTACAATTTTATAAGAAGAAAAAAAATGATAAAAGATAAATTAAATTTAAAAAAAAACTTAGCTAATATATTTTCTTCCAAGAAAAGGCTATACTTTCAGTATAAGTATTTAAAAAGCTTCACTGTTTCAGTTTTTGTTCACTAGGTAGGATCACGACACTGTCTATATTTTTTTTTGCATTTTATTTAGATTTGATTATATGAATTATATTGATTAATTTTATAAATTAATTTAGTGATCTTTCAGAAAATGTATTCATCTTGCTTTTGATTTTTAAAAATGATTTCTTTGAAGAAGTAAACTACTTTTGCATAATTCATACACAAGTATACACATAGATAAAATTGGGAATATTATCTAGGATATTACAGATTTTTTATCAAATATTACTGATGTATATGTTATCATGTTATTGTATAATATTTTAGCACTTTTATTTAATTATTTTTTTTAAATGTATGTATTTAAAAGAAATTGGAACATTTTTAAACCACTGCATTGATTACAGTGAGTGAAGAAATAACAAATTTTCTGCTAATATTTTTTTGATAACCACTTGAATTTTTTTTAAATATAATTACAAATACAAGAATTTTGAATATTTTAGCCCTTATTAAATCATTTTTTCTTCAATTTTTAATTTTAAAATCTAATCCCCCCCCCCCTTAATAAGAAAAACTTTTAAAGACTGAGAAATTTGACACATTTAACACAAAGCTTCTTGGAAAAAACTTAATTTTTCTTATTGTTATTTGACAAGTATACAATATAAATTTTCTATTTATCAGGCAGAATACCTAGACAAATAGCCCTGCAAGCTAGGATTGTATGATTTAAAATCCTATTTAAATGACGGCTTTTTTTGAAAAAAAAAATTTCATTGCTTTAAATTAAAATATTTTTTATAAAGGATAATTAACAAATACATTCTCTAAGCTTGGATTGGAAAACTTTAATATTTCGAACATGTGAAACAGTCAGTAAAATTAGCACAATGCAAATTTTATTAAAGAATATGCTTAACTGTTCCTCTATCTGCATCATAAAACCGCTGAACTAATTGCACGATGGTACTCTTTCCACATCCACTTGGCCCAACCAGAGCTACTGTTTCTCCAGATTTTATTTTCAGACTAAGACCTTTCAAAATCTAAAAAATCGAATACAAATTCTTATTAGATGTACAATTTAAAATATGTTTTGCATATTTTTAGAAGATATTCATAGCATTCTTACTGTGACATCTGGACGAGCAGGATAATTGAAATGAACATCTTTTAGAGTGATATTGCCTACAAGAGACTGAGGAAATTTTCCACTCTTCGAGCTGCTATCAATAGGTGGTTTCTATAAAAAATTAAAATTCAATATTGTTACAGTGAAATATGGCTCAGAAATTTTATTAGAAGATAGAAATACTACTAGTTCTAAAGTGAAAAAAAAATCTTTGCATAAGGAACTAAGGTCAAATTTTCCCACTCTAGTTCAAAGGCCCACCTCAACATGGTGAAAGGGTACTTCTAAGTGGAATAGGTGATGTAAGTCTGCAGATTCTTCTCCTGGTAAAGTCACCTAAGGTGGAAAGACTATTCTATTATGCCCAGCTAAGGTTCAAAGACAATAGGAACTGAGTCAGCCTTCTACTTCGTAGTGCTCTGGTCTTTGCTGATAACAGAAGCTGTACTTTCTTCTTCATCTATGATTTCATAATCTTTATAAGCCCACATTGATGGTTATTGACTTTCTAAGTATGTTCGACATTATGAACTTAGTCTAGCTCAGCTAAATATGGAGTTTAGCAACAATAGACCAAGTTTTATTCATGTTTAAAATGCTCAGTTTATAAAAGTTTAGTTCTGTAGTTGCTTATATAAACATGACAAAAATTACTTCTGGAGATGTTTAAAATTAACAACATATTTATAAGTCTCTCTAGAAATTCCTGGCATAAGAGTATTTCTAATTTAAAATGCTTAAATTATTTTTATTTAGAAAGTTCAGAATAGCCTGAAGTTTTTTACTAAACACATTAAAGCCGATTCTCATTAACACTAAATTACGGTGTAATACATATTCAACAAATCTCTACAACTGCAGGATACATTTAACAAGGAATATCTTTGAGTAATAATTATAACAGAAAACAAAATTTAAACAGATCATAAAGATCTTTTGTACAACTTTGAAAGTTGCTCAAAGAATAAACATTTAAAATTAAACACTCAACGGATAAATCTTTAAAAACAAAATATACTAACTCTTTCAATGATAGAAAAGACCTTTCCTGCGGCACCTTTAGCAATGGCAAATGCTTCAAAATATGGTGCAGTTTGGCCAACTCCCATTGCTCCCAATATCACATTAAAGAAAACCTAAATGGATCAAAATATATAAGATCTAAACTTTGATACAAAAAAAAAATTAAATAAATAAAAAATCACTATTACACTTACAATAAAAATTTTAAAAGCATAAGCTTTCTGAGAAATATAATTTTCTTAAAGCATAAGCTGTCTATTTTACAATGAAGAACAGAACCAATGGAATAAAAGGTAATGATAAAAAAATTTAAAGAGCTAAAATTTATACACTAAGTTTTTGAATAATTTTCAAATGTTAGATACGATTTTAATAGAAACAGTTAAGATTCCTATGTAATTGATTAAAGCTATTAATGATTATAAAATACTCTTGTTAATCTATTTTACATATCATAAGAATATAAAATTTTTAATTCTAAATGCTGAACATAAAACTTATTTGTAAGGTAAAATTAGATAAATAAATTAGATAAATTAAAACATTTAACAGTAGTACACACAGACCGTTTCAATTTTGTATGTGTTATGTTGAATGTTAAGCTTTCCAAACTTCATAGACAAATAAAGAAAAAAAAAATCACTCATCCTTTTTCATAAATGTAAATATAACTAAGAACATAGGATTAAAAAATCAGACTAATCTGAAAGAAACTTGCTTGATTTGTGCTTAAGTTCTCAAACATAGAAAAGTACAAACTATTAGTTATAGTAAAATGTTACAGATATTAGTTTCTCAGTTATTAGTTCCACATTTCGCAAAATTTGTTAAGAATACAATATAATTTATTTTACATTAATTAAATCACAAAGCATACAGTTTTTTTCTTCAGAGAGCTAACAAGCTTAAAGTAAAATAATCTTATCTTCAAAAATTTAAGAATTTATTTAACAAGTTTCGAATAATTTAATAACATGATATAAAATAGGTTTTGCTAAAGTATTAAATGAAATTATGTTTTACTGTGAGCATAAGACTACAAAACAAATACTTACAATAATTAAAGTACTTGGTTTGTATTCAGGATTTGGTTGACCTCTGCCTTCAAAAATCAATTTTACACCATACCAAAATGCTAAAGCATATCCCAAATATATGCAAACCCAGATAAGAGAAGCACCAATACTAGTCAAAAGTCCTCTTTTGATGCCTTTTTGGTTGGCAGGTATTAGGCATTTGTTATACCTAATTAAAACACAAAAATATTCATTCAAAGAGTATGAATCTTAATAACATAAACAAATAGTTCAAAGAGTATGAATTTTAATAAAAGGTAAACCAATTCCTTAACATACTGTTTCAGAAAATGGGGAAAATCCCTGATATAGTGTATTCAATAATTACTTTGTATTACTATTATAGAATATTATTGGTGCTATCCTACCTATCTATTTCCTTCTTTTCACCACCAAATGACACCACAGTTCGAATGGATGACAATACTTCTTCTGCAACTGCTCCTGCTGCACCATATGCTTCTAGCTCTTCTCCCGAAACAGCAGCTTGGATCTGTTTAGAGGGAAAAAATTTTTAGAGTCATAGTTTTGTAGATTTTAAATATATTGTATTTAAATAAAAATTAAGAAAAAAAAATTAATTAAATAAACACTGCAGTCACTCCATAAAAATTCAAAGTTTATTTAGTATTATTTCAATGCTTAAATTAGTTCTTCATCAGAAGTAAAATTTCTTAGGAAGATCATTAAAAAATGATCATTGAAGTTTAGAGCTCCACAATTTGAGACCCATTGCATCACTAAATCAATGTACACAAGCTGGCTTTACTTACAGATAAACTGTCACCTATAAATCTGAAGCTGGGTGCGTTTCAAGCCACCACTCACAGAGAATTGCACGCCAGCGATTTACAACGATGGCCTAGTGTCATTAGCCATCACAACCCCTCCATTTTATTTAACTTAACAACCGGCATTAAACTGACCCAATTATGAGTAAAAAATTACCAATATTTAACTCAGTAGCCTTGTAATTTTGAACCCAAAAGACAAGGTAATTCCTTGATCAAGTATTGGGAGAAATTTGCCTTCTTGGTTGATTTTTTGATGGAACTAATCTGCATTTGCGTTACATTAAGATGAAAACTACAAAAACCAGGGCAAGGAGGTTCTAACCCATGATCGGCTTACCACTGAAGATATTTTACATCAATAAGGAGCAGAATTCATATCAACCAGCCACCGGTGGAAGTCGAACTTAGGTCGCCTCACTCAGAAGCGAGTGTGCAATCCCTTGAGCCACTGTGGCTCTACAACATCTCTATTAGAAATAATTATGGCAAAACAGGCATATATAGAACAAAGCCGCAGTATAGCAATAAAATCTAAGAAAAAACCACGGTGACAAAATATACATTTCAGATTATAATTTTCTTTTTCATTTGCTATGCAAAACATTGACAAACCACACTTAATTCTAGTAAGCTGTGACTGCTTGAAGTTTTTGTTAATCAAATATTTATATATAAATAAGTATAATGTTGAACTGTTAGTGTGCTTAATCACATTTAAAATAAATTACCTTCGATATAATACCCATTGCAATGGTTAAAATAGGCATGATACACAGGCACACTAGGGTTAATTTCCAGCCAAAGTACAAAGCAGTACAGATGCATAAAATACAAGTAGATACAAAACTAATGCACATTCCAACTTTTTCCCCAATGCCATCTTGAATTCGATTTAGATCTCTATGGGGTGAAAAATAATTATATTTTAAAAGAAAAATTAAATAAACAAGGTAAAGAGTATATGCAAGAACTAAAATTTCATGACAAAAAATAAATAGTAAATAACATTGCTAATTTTCTTAAAGTTGTAAATCATATAAATCTTTTACAAGCTTAGTTTGCTCAGCATTAACTCAAGAATAAAAATATTTTAATAGTATTTAATTGATAAGATAAAAAGCCAAAATATTTTAATTTAACTAAAAGATTTCATAACACTCTAATATCAAAGCTAAAATTTTTGTTAATCATAAAATATAAAATTTTCTTTGGTGTATTGATAAAATTAAATTAACATATTTTTTAATTAAATAAATTTAATTTAATTTTAAAATGAGATAAAAATTAAACTATAAGTAAAAGAATTTCCTTATATGACAAGCTAAAATGATTTTGAATTAGATACTTTTAAGATGGCTAATGTATTTATACGAAATAAATATTGTATCAGTAAATACATCAAAATTCTAAGAAGGGAAGGTGGAATAAAAAACATCATAACCAGTTTGAACGCCTGATAAAACATGGATATGTTCCTAATAATCCCGATTCATCTCCTCCCTAGTTCTTTCAGCAATTAAACAGATTTTGATGTTTTCAGTTGTTAGAGTTTGATAAAATTAGTTTATTCTAGCTCAAATATTAACTTGCAACCTCTCAAGTACATACATCATTATTGACAAGGATTCTAAAAACATACATTAAAGACAGTCATCAAAGAACACAGTGTCAGTGGTGATTGTGACACAATGTGAAAAACCCTGAAAATTTTATGTGCAAAAAATCAAAATATCAATTAATATATCAAACATGTTTCACATTTAGCATAATTTTTTAAAAAAATAATAATAACAATTAAATTATTTACCAATGAAGAATATCACACCTTTACAGTAACAAATTTAAGAAAAATCTTACTTCTTACAAGAATCGCAATAAAGGATTTTAAAATCGTGTGAATATAAATCACGATATTGGATTTTTAAATCACTTGAATATGAATCACGATGTAAGATTTTTAAACCACGCAAATGCGAAAATCGATGTTTGATATTGAAACCGCGATATTAGTGGATTCCGGTGCAGATCCAAATATTCACATTGAGGAAAACTTCGTAAACGAAAAGAATCAAGTGGTGGAAGAATCACGTGTATGTAAGCGCCTCGTTAGCCAAGTGACGGTTTCAGAATTAGAATTTTAGATTGAGGAATTCCATGGAAATTTTGTAAGATAAGTTTTCGATCAGCGAAAGTCAGAGAAAAAATGGTCTAGAGCAACATGGAATTTTGCGATATTCACAGACAACCATATGCTTACTCTTTATTTTTAGACCCAGAAGAATAATACGAAAAACTTGGAATTCCAGGGCATCCACAGAATACAATTACCATTGCAGTGTATATTAAAAAATTAATAGCTATAAGTAAACAAATTCAAAACGATGTTTTTATAATGAAAGGTTTAAAATAAAATGTAACCCATTGATATAAATTCAAATTAAAAAAAATTTCTTACCCTGTAAGTCGACTAGCAAAATCACCAGTTTGATGAGTATCAAACCAACTAATATCTTGTCTAAGAACAGATCTCATAAACATACATCTGATTTTAAATGCCTGATTAGCAGCAGCCATACTGAAGAAGCTGACAAAAATATAATTGAAGCAAAATACTATTGCCCCAATAATACATATATACATGCACAGATCTGCAACATCGTGCAGAAATGTTTCTGTTGTAATACTGAAATAAAAAGAAACATTTTATGATACTTTGAAAGTATAAAATAGAAAATTTATTTTTAAATATTTTGAATTAATGTTTAGCTTTTATATATGAGCTAAAATAAGTTTCTTTGCTACTAGTTAGTAAAAGAGAACTAAAGCACAGACCAAATTAATAAAAACAGCAATAAAAATAAAATTTTCTGAAAAATTAAAAACGTTAACACTTTTTAGCACAACAATTATTAAAGTAGCTTTTGTTATCTATGTAGACTTGCATATTAAACACCAGACAATAAAAATATTTATCTTCATTAAATATATTAATTTTATTTCACTAAAATATGTATTTATCTTTAAGCATACTTTAAAAATAGAAATGAAATTTTTTTATTGAGTTGTTTTTCTATACATAAAAGCAAAGTTAATGAACTGACATTTTGTCATAAGATATCAACAGAGAAAATTTTACCTCAAATTATTGAGAAAAATATTTTCATAAGTTAAATGAAAGTTAAAAAGACAAGATTTAAAATAAAAGACAAAAAAAAAAAAACTTACTTTGTACCATTTCCAGATAAAGCTGTAAGATTGTTGTGGAGTCTATGATGATCAACAAAACTGTCAAGAATATTTCCAAAAAGAACCATGATTGTTGGCATAGCCGCACCAGTCACAACAGCAATAATTATTGCTGTAATCATTAATAACTTATCTAGGTTGCTAGAATACCTAAACTGAAAGAGGAAGAAACTTTTATCACTTTTAAAAATCCTATAAAAATATATGTGCATAAAAATTATATTCCAAATACGATGTGTAAAAAATCTGTGGAGGGTGTTTTTAAATATTAAAACAGCACTTAATGGAGGTTACAGTGTGCTTAATTTCACTTGACAATTAGGGAATAGTATCAATGCTAATAAAAAAACTAAATTTCTTTCTTCAGATAAAAATCCATTGTGAACTGTAAACTAAATTTTGCGGGAAATAGAACTTGCATTAAAAAACACAGAGGTGTTACAATTTACGTATTTTAGCAGACGACATACACAAACCATATGATACCAAAATATAATAATGAAAATCAGTTCATAAGTCTCTGGTTTTCATACAAATCCACAAATCATTACTGAAGCTTTAGATTTAGTACATATGTGTTCAAAAGCACAGTAGTTAGCATTTAGCTACTTTAAATCTATTGGTTACTTAGACTACTTACTCACATGCTACAACCCAAAGGGAATCTCATAGAAATATCATGAATCAGATAAATTTAAAGCGCTTTTGTTTCTTAGTTGCACGGTAGTAGAGAAGAATAGTACTTTCACAATCACCATAAGGCAAAAAATTAATATTCATAGTTCATTCAAATATATCATGTTATATTCAAATGATTTAAATTTATTATAATTCACACATGAAAAAAAAAATCAGAATGCATCTAAGAACTTTTATTTATTCATCGTATGTGTAAGAAATACTTATAGAATATTATTTATTAAAATTCATAAAATTGTTTTAATGCATTCTAATATGTGAGAAATTGTCGAGAGTGAATGAAAATTAAATGACCGAAATAACAATAACAGAATGAGAAGAAGTGTTTATTGGTATCTAACAACAACATGCTTTGAGGTTAAAAGTTTTCCAAAGGATAAGGATAATTTGGTTAAAATTTGAATAGTATTTCAAAAGTTAATTTAGAAATTCTATAATTTTGCTGACCGAAAATTTATTTCTACAACACTTTACAGCTGCTTTAAGGCTCATATAACTGGTTGATGAAAATGCTACATTAGAATATCAAAACAAAGATAGATCTAAATATCCTGAAGATTGAATGTAATTAAAGAACATAAAAATTTTAGTAGTACATATATATTGCTTATAAAATTTTATTTCTTTTACACTAATAAGTAAATCATAAAAAAAATTTTTATGTAGATAAAACTCTAAAATGGAAATTAGCATAGTTTAAAACTAAAAGAAGCAGCATTAATAATTTTTTATCAAAAAAACAAAGCTTTAGTCATAAATGAAACAAACATACTAACCAGAGAGAGAAAACTAACTGATGGTGTTTGTTCTTTGGAATCTTCTTCACTTTCTTTTCTATGAAAATAAATAAATAAAATTCATGAAACTAGGAAGGTAACACTGCTAAATAATCATTGGAATTAGAAATTCTGACATTCAGCATTTAAAATTCTAATAATTTCCTTGTAATTCTTACATTCAAATAAGTTACAAAATTATACTTAAAAACAAAAAGTTTGCGAATTAACAAATTAAAAACAACATTATAATAAAAATTCTTTGTAAATAAAAATGTGATAAAAGTTATTCAATTTTAACTATCAAACCTTAAGATGTACTACCTTAAATGCTTTTAAAAAATGACAATATTTTTAGAAAGTTGCAAACATGTTTACTTTTCACTTCAGGTGTTATAACAAATCCAGCTACATTGAATCAACAGTTTTTTCTCTTATAAAAACACATTTATTTGACACATCAACAAAGCAAAATTAAATGGAAATACCCGTAACAAGTTAGAAATAACCTTGCAAAATAAATGGAAAAACACATAACGGGTTAGTATGAACCTTAAAAACTATCAAAGGCAACATCTCTCTGATGTTTAATGATCTGATTTTTAATCTATCTCATAAGTTTTTTTTTAAATTTTTTTTTTATACATGCTTTTGTTTAACCAAATTTTTTTTAGATATCTTTAGACTTATAGCATGTAGTTCCAAAAGAGCAATTTGAAAGTTTTGACTCGTTTCTTAAAATTTATCAAATTCTCAACTTAGCTATTTTGTATTCTAAGTCCTATGAGAAGGTTCAAGAATTAAAAAATGTAAAAAATCTCTAAAATTTAAAAATTAAGAAAAAAAGCATAACATAAAAATTTTTGATACGAACAACGGATAAAAAAACATCCAATAGAGAAAATATAGAATAATATAAAAATATAGAATAATATCATAATATAGAATATAAAATATAGAATAATATCAAAAGCTGTAACATCAGTAGCTGCAGTGGTGTGAGATTATAGATAAAATCATAATTGAAGTCTATTTTTAAGTCAATAAATATAAAAAGTTATATTGTACAGCAACAGAGACGCATAATCATTTTTTTAGATAGTGAGCCACAAAAATTAATACCAGGTTGGCATCCAAGATTAACATAATTGTAAAATGCAAAAATTGTAAAAATATGCATGCAAAACTGTAATTCTAATAATACAAGTCACATTTAAATGAAGATTATAAATGACTTACATGTTTATAACTATTTTTTTATTATTTTCTTTTTATTCAAGAAAGAATATACAGAAAATAACGGTTAAAAAAATTTAACGTAAATAAATTTAAAACATAGTTAGATGATTAAAAAGTATATTATTAATATAAATTTACAGGGAAAAACTTAATTTACCCCAAGTTATCTTTTTCTATTAGTATTCAAAAAACAAAATTTTTTACTAATACGGTATCTGATTTTTGTATTGGTTATTGGCTATTATTTGAATTTTGAAATTATGCACTTTTTTCATTAACTTTTTAGATTTAAATGTGTTTTTTAGATTTACTTTTTATTCAAATTTATATGTAAAGAATTACATTTCTCAAACACACTATGTCTATTTTTAAAAGCAAAGCTCGCAATACAAAACTGTTTAAATTCCATATTTTGAGAAAGGCTGAACTGGATCAGTAACACGTTATTACAGCTGAAAGAAAAGGCTTATTCTATTTCTCTTTGTAATTTATATTTTTACTAGCATTTAAAACAGTTTAGGAACCAAGTTAAAAAGCTTAGTGAGCTACTTTCGGTACACAGGATACGTGATATAACTGATGAACTACATGTTTAAATACTGTAACTTTTAAACAAAGTTTCAATAGAAGACAAAATTTAGCATTTTTTGTTTTTTAAAGCACTTACTTTTTCTCATGACCATCAGGAGGAGCTCCATCTGGAGGTTTGCTAGCACCATTTGCTAATTTCATAGAATTATGAAATTTGTTGTCATTAAAGTGAAAACCATTTTCTTTAACAGACATTTCGAAATACGGAGAGGTAGGTGGCTGTAGATAACTTTCTATATAATGTCCGTTTTCAGATTGGTCACTTACCCTATAAATGAAATATAACTGAGCTGAGTAAAACATTTTTATAATTTTAATGCACATAATAAACAATAAATTAAATAATCATATCTTAAAAGTACAGTGCATAAGGGAAAAAAATATAATTATTGAATGACTAGTGCTCTTTAGATATATTTTTCAAACAGCTTCTCTTTACTTAAAAAATATCTCTCAAGTTTATAAATGCTAAAATGCAAAGTAAAAATTTTTTCTATAAAAATAATATAGCACAAGATACTAAATCTGGAATGTGTAGGTCCATCAAGATTCCGGATCTTGGGTGTGAACTTCAACCACTTAATTTTCAACAAACTAGGTGCCCTTTAATAAAAAACTTAAATAAAGGTAAAATTTACAACTAAAACAAAATTTTTCACAAAACAGATTATTTTGAAATTATCTGTCAGTTTTATTTGTAAAAAATGATTTTTTTTCCTTCTAAAAATTCCTGCAATTTACATTGAAGAGAAAAAGTCAGAAAAACATGCATAATAAAAAAAATATAATGACTTTTAAAAAACAAGATTATTTTGTGCGCAACAATTTTATTAGCTATTGGCATTTTGTTATACATGGAATAAATAATTATTAATATCTAATACTATATAATAATAACAATTCATAATGAGCTTCAAAAATTCTCAAATTATATTTGGATAATTGGTAACAAAGTTTTAATCAAATAAAATCATACTATTACATAAGAATATATAACTATTATAAATATTGAAGACTTACTAAAATAACTCATAGAAACCATAATTAATTGAAAAACTTGTAAATTCAAAAATTAATGAGAGAATAAATGTCTAATAATTTAAAAATTGCCAGCACCTGACCTCAATATTTATCTGTTTATCTATTGATATGAAGCTTTATTTGATAAGTTTTGTATAGTTAGAATTGTCAGAGGTTTTTTCAGACTTTTGTGAAAAGCCCTGTTTTGGTGACATTGAGATTAATTATAGTTTTGTAAAAATAAAAAAAAAAGTCTTTGTCAACAACTTCAAAAGTAAATTGCATGACTAACAATTAAATAAACTATCTTTAAAACTTAAAATTAAATGTTACACTACCTTGTAGATAAGGCTTAAACTACCAATTAATATTCTTGAATGCATTTAAATTGCTTTCAACTAAGTAATAATATGATATGAACATAAAATTATTTAAAAATAAAATGTAGCATCAAAGAAACATTCTTACTTGATATTTGGTACTGTTAAATTTTTGTAATTTGATGACCCATTTACTTTAGGAACTTCTGTGTCTTCAAATGCTTCGTTGACATGGTCTTTTTTGTAAGATTTTAATTGACCATTATTTTCATCTAAAGATTTGTAATGAAGTAGACTAGATACTGGACTAAGATGTACATTTTCATCAGCCATCTTTCGATCTAAAACGAAAAATTTTGACTTAAAAATAATATACAAAACGTTCATAACAAATAAAGTAGTCTAAATTTGGTTAATTGAAATTTCTATCCTTAACATAATTTTCAAATTTAATATTAATATAATATTTCCTTAGCTTAACAAAATCTAAAAAAAAAAAAAAAAAACTCAAATATTTTTTAAGGAACAAATAAAATAAATATACATTTATTGAATATTTGTATATTAAGCATTTCTCTTTTGAAATTTGTACTCGTGGGCTTGAAAGAAAAGTTTATTTTTACTTTTCCTACATATATTATTATGTATTACAGCATTCAAGTTTTAAATCTAAAAATTGATGATGTACATTTAATGAACCTACTTTTAGTAAACATTTTATTGCAAATATATATTTTTCATAAAATTACTATTTAAAATATAAAAAGACTTAAAAAAAATTAGAATTCTTAAGACAATTTTTTTAAAAACTTATTAACAAACAAGCAGTTTAAAAATAATCAAATATACTATTTAGGTAATAATAGTTCTATGATTAAAACTCACAAGTTAAGTACTATGTTGCAGTTTGTAGCATAAAAAGCAATATCTATATTTATAAAAATAGTTATAATCCATTAGTAACAAAATACTGTGCAGCAATTTGTAGCAGAATAAGCAATATCTCTAATTATAACAATAACATTAGATATCATTTTACAAAGCGCCTTTAAAAAAAAAAAAAATTAATCACTGACTGTATGGAATATATGATTCCATACAGTTTGACAAATAACCTGTTCAGTCAACACGGAATACCACAATTCTGACGTATATAGACAGTTGAGTAATATTTTTTTAAAACCAACATTTAATATCAATCTGTTCAATATACACGCAAAGTAAGTGCAATTTCAATTTTAAGCTCAGTTAGAACGTATATACTCATAGGTACATAGGTCAAGGTTTCAGGAAATATTGGGGATATTTAAGCCACAACAAAGAACAAAACATTATAAGCAACAAAATAAAACAAAATGTCAATACAAATAAAACATTATTTTTGAGCGTCGCCATTTTGCAGTCAGTTCACAACTTAATTAAATTATAATAAAAATTATTGTTCAATTTAAAGCTTTAATTGCTAAAGGATAAGAAATTGGGAAATGAAATAATAATTGTGGTTTAAATTTCCCGGCCACGCTGTTACAAAGCGAAACAAGTGAGCAAGGGCAGACGGTAGATAGATAATAAGTAATTGACTGTTTATTTCTGTTCAGTAAAAAGACTAGTAACACAACCCAATAAAATTAAATCTCATTCAAGCGAAATAATATGCGCCCGAATTTTACATGAATGTGAAAAGAAGAGTTTTTTTTAAGATTTCAAAATGTGCTATTCATTTTTTGGGGTTAATTGGAGGGCACATGAGAAAGTTATCATTCCTCATTTCTTTTCAGTGTGAACATTTATTGAGAACGAAGTTCAATCGGTTATAATACGTGTGTAGTTCAGCTAGTACTTGAAGAGAATCGCAGTCAGTATCCTGGTGTTGAATTCGTCTTCTTTTGATGTTGAACGAGAAAGAAGCAATGTTTCCAATCAGTTTACATAGTATAACTTTTTAAAAATAAATAAATAAATCAAATATAATGCATTGTCTATTACAATACCCATCAATAGTCTATATGTTTTAGTACCTGGACTCGTACTATTGTCCTGGACATGTACTATCGACTGCCATTTTAAAAATAATAGCAGACAAAACTATTTATAAAAACAATCTCAGTTTTTGAAACCCACCAGTTTCTAATAGTTAAGGTTGAAATTACTAAATAAGACATGATGGATTTTACTATGCAGAGCAAAATTTAATATTGAATAATTAATCAATAAAAATATATTAGAACACATTACAATCAAAATAAATCATATTCCCGATAGTGATTTATTGAGAGTACAAAAACATAATTTATTTTCAGTTGTTAGATTTTACTTTAAAGATTTACAGAAAATTAATTAATATTAGTTCTAACAACTTAGTGCATGAAAAAAATAGTGTTAAATTGTATTGGATTTTTTAAAAAAAAATTAAATTTATTTAAATTAAGGAAAATAAAAAAAGGCTTTTCTCAGATACTAAAGTTGAATTGTCAGAACGCAGTCTAAATTTGGTAGTTTAGTCTGCTTTTTTTTTCTTTCTATTTTAATTTGTTTATTTTTAAAAAAATACAGATAAACGGTTCTGAAATCACGTTTTTTGCAGTTCGATCACCTAAAGAAATATTTCAAAACCTTGGATAAATAAATCAAAAAAATCTATTAAGAGAACACACACTCATAAAGCTGTAAAAATCCTTTTTTACGTTTAAATGACTCAAAAATTAACTCATTTAAGAATATTCTATTATATTTTTGATTTACACTAACACTTAACCAAAGCACATATGAATAAAATTACTCTTCAATTAACTAAAATTTTCGCCAGAAGCACGTTTCTTATTCGTTGTCTCAATAAATTCTATAGCCAAACGGTCGAGTTAGAGTTCTTTTACCGTCAAGCTAACAATGAATGATTTCGTGGTTTCTTTCTCCATGCAATGCATTTGGATGCTTTCACTAATGATGTTCCCATTGCACTCAAGTTACGTTTACCTCAACACCAGCAATATTAATAAATATTAAAAATTTAAGAAAAATTATTGCAAAAGGAATTAATTATAAATCAACCAATATTTTTTATAGCTAAGTTTTACGTCAACCATGATATATCTGACTAGTTTAACAGAATTTCCTTCATAAAATTTTTTAAATACAGTTTAAAACACGAAGAAAAATTTGAAAATAATGTTTTTAATTATAGTTGCCCATAACAAATTTACTTAGAACTATATCTTGTGAGATATTTGTTTGATAGAAAATTGTATGATTTTGGTATTGTTTTACATAATTACTACAATACCTGGCCAGGTATTAAATCCATTGTTGCTGAGTATCCAAAGCAGGCCGAGTAAAAAATTTAGTTTTCGCTGACTACCATGTACTTAGTCAAATTTGAGAATAAAAATTTAGGAACCGATACATCTGTAGCTTACGTACTTTCCTTATGGGAGTACAAAAGTTTCCATACCTACTCTTTTGGTTTCTTCGTTTTGCGTAAGACATAGTTTAAAGTGCGTTTTAATTTTGTTACCGTTAGCTAAGAAGTATTTAGAGGAGTGTGATGCGACTACTTCTCTCAGAGGCATACATAAAAATAAAGATGTGTTTTTTTTAAACATGTAAAAATATCCTTTCACGTTTTTTTCCCTAAAATCCTTATACCCAAATCGAATTTAATAAAATTTTTTGGAGCTTTGTTTCGGCTACATCTTTCCTAATTTTTAGGTTTGTTATTAGGTTGTTATTAATGTTGTTGTTAGGTTTGCATTATTTTTAATGTAACACTACAAAAAATGACGAAGAAAAATCCGATGTGTGCAGAAAAATGAATTGAACATGAAAAGTCAAAGTCCATGGAAAAAAATATATTTTCTATAATTTTGAAAGAATATATGGAATAGAATTTCTAGAATAATAATTAACACTACTATAATATTGTTATCACTTGAAAGACTTTCAACTGCAAAGCAAAAAATGAAAATAACCGAATTTCTCAAAGAAGCTTGTGAAAGCACACAAACTTATGCTTAGAATGGCTGATATCTTTCCTTTTTCTTACGGCATTGAATATTAATTGGAAATTCTTTTATATAAAGAGCGAAAGTTCCAAGAAAGAAGTTTTTGTCAAAATTCTCATAGCATGAAAAGGTCAAAACAAGAATAAAAAAGTACCGCATCATCTTAATTAGGGACTCAAATTGTTCAAAAACAATAGAAAAAGAACTAGAAAAGGATATGTTACGAAAAAAAATAATGATTTAAAAAATTTAATTATTCCTCTTCTCACTCTGATAAAAATTAATGCAAGAGAGGCAAATTCGGCTGAAAAGTAAAAAATAATTATAATGTTATCATTGAACATATTCATTGTCATCTTTTAAAAAACACAAAGGAATTATTCATGTGTGTGAAATTCTCTGAAGAAAAAACTGAAAAATAATTCTTTCAGAAGAAACAATCAAAGATAATTCTATAAATGAGTAACTAAAATTTCCGGATGTTAGAAATGAAATAAATGAATAAAATACACGACGATCACTGTAGTGTGACAACCATAAGTGATGCTACAACAAGGACAGTGACAGAACAGCCGTTGGAAGAGATCTCGAACCATTAACAGTTCAAACCGTTAGAGAAAAAAGAAAGAAAGAAAAACTCAAACAATTAACGAATTTTTCAAACGCTGTAATTTAGAAACTAAGCATGTAAAAAACTAATTTTAAAACGCACCATTAATTAGAATATTATTAAAACTTGAAAGAAGAATTTATGCAATAATGATATAATGTTACAGTATTTAGTGTATGCAATTGAATTTATAATACGATTTTTTTAGAATTAAAATATTTTAATTTCATAACAAATTAAAATAAAATTGGAAACTCAGCTTTATTTCGTCCTTTTTTACTCTTCATTTAAGTTATAATTTTTTTTTTATGAAATTCAAGTTTAAGGTTACTTAATATTCAAATTGGTAATTTCGATTAGCATTAAAATGTTTGAATGCTTTGTATATTTTGTTGATAAGCTTTTAAAAGTATGGCAACATTTATTTACTATTGTAGGTGGCAACACAAGTGAAAACTTCTAAGTGTAAACATTTTCGGGATAAAGTCTTAACCTTTAGCGGTAGTATTGAGTTTGTACAATGTACATAGTACGCACAAACTGGTACGTACATACAGGTCGGAACAAACTTTTGTTGGACGAACATAACATGCAAGATAATGAAGAAAGAAAAAATTTTATCGAGGAAAAATAGTTATACATTTAAACACAGTTTGTAAAATATAGTTTTGAATTTTATGTATCTCCAATGTCCATTAACATAAGATCAATTAACAAGGTCTTCTCATACTTA